ATTTATAGGTGTTGATCAGATCCCCCCTCAGCCTTCTCTTCTCCAGACTCAAAAGACCCCAGTCCCTCAGCCTTTCCTCAGCAGAGAGATGCTCCAGGCCCCTCACCATCTTTGTAGCCTCTGCTGTCCCCTCTCCAGCAGTTCCCTGTCCTTCTGGAACTGGGGAGCCCAGCACTGGTCCCAGTGCTCCAGATGGGGCCTCCCCAGGGCAGAGCAGAGGGGCAGGATGACCTCCCTCCACCTGCTGCTCACCCTCTTCCTGATGCCCCCCAGGATGCCCTTGGCCTTCTTGGCCACCAGGGCCCATTGCTGGCTCCTGGACATCCTGTTGTCCACCAGGACTCCCAGGTCTTTCTCCCCAGAGCTGCTCTCCAGCAGGTCACCCCCAACCCGTACTGGTGTGGGGGGTTATTCCTCCCCAGGTGCAGCACCCTACACTTGCCCTTGTTGAACTTCATCAGGTTCCTCTCATGAAGAACAAAGCCTGTGATAGGGGATTGGCAAGAACTCAACTACCTAAACAGGTAGTAATCCACACACAAAGTCAACCAAAGTGGGGTTGGTGACACCCAACCCAACTTACTGGCAAGTATATAAGCTTATTTGATTGCCACTTTGTACGGGAAAAGGAAGAAGCCTCCTCCCTGTCTTTTGCCACCTCCAGACATTCCTGCTGCTTCCATTATTAAACACCATCCCTCATGTTGCTACACAATATCAAGTAACGAAATTAGCAAAACAACTAATCTCACCAAAAAGGAATTAAGTTTTCTGTTGGTTTAGCTTCTTCAACCAGCTCATTAGGAGGATGAGAACTGTCTCAGTGAGCTTAACCCTGTCAGCCAACTGCACCCGAACAAACTGGTGTGGGGTCTTCGGGGAAGATAAATGAGAAAGGAAGCAGAGTGAGAAGCACTTTAAAAGGCCTTTATCAAGAGAAATCCAAGGGGCAAATCTTTTGACAGCAGACATTTTAAAAATTAAACACTGAGTTGACACTACAAGTGATGTGCTTCAACACTAAACACAAATTCACAAATTTCAGGTAAAAGCATGTATTTCTACAGCCAATAATTCAATGAATCATAGAACCATGTAGGTTGGAAAAGACCCTTGAGATGATTGAGCCCAACCATTAACCTCACACTAACAATGAAAGTTGTAAGCAGCCAAAAAAGGAAGGAAAAAAGTTTTACTTTCTGTGAAGTTAATTATCAGAGATGACTCCGGATAAATCCTACCTCTAAGGAATCCTTTTGCTTTCCCCAAAACTCAAAATTACTGTTACCAAGACTTTAATAAATAAAGCTTTAAAAAGTTGGCAATAGCTTTGCAGTTCTCTCTCCAATTTACTCACAGGCAACTAAAGAGACTTTTCATTTCCAGTACTCTTCAAAAAGAAACTGAATGGACCACTAAAGGTACTGGTTAAACAACAGATTTTGGAGTAAAGTCATGCATTCGTGTATTGAGAGCCCCTACCCTGATCTCTGCTCCAGGAACACAGCCTGCACAGCACTATCACACGAATCAAACTAAAACTGAAGAAAGAGTACTTTAAAATACAGGAGAAAAACATCTGAGTGTTCGACAAGCATATATTCCCCATTTCTAAGTTTGTAAATGCCTACACGTTGATTTTCAACGACCAACATTCCAGTTGAAAAGTGCCTCACAGCCTTCTGTGGGAGTCCTCGATAAGGAGGAGATAAATACCACATCTCCAGCTTTTAACTACAGAAGGAGCACTCACGAAGCACTCAGTTGCTCTCCAGCTACAGTAAGGCAAAAAGCACTGCCCACTTTAGAAACAGCTTTAGCTTGGTAAGTAGCAGCAACTCAGCTTCTAGGAAAGCTGAGGAGGGGGATACAACAAGTAGCTGGGATGTTCTTCAAGAGCAGGAGCAGACTGGGAAATCAGGAAGATTGGATTTTTCCACTTGTTAACCTGGAAACAAACACACCAGCTATGATTTTGGTATTTCTCTGCAAGAGATATAAGGAGAAAAAAAAAAAAAGTCCCACTGCACCTTCCACACATACATATACACATAAACTATGATTTTAATTAAGAAATAAAAAAACCATTAACCCAGGTGCATCATGAGAAGCAGCTGCTGGGCTCCACTGTGCCGTATAATGAGACAGAGGAGGAAGAGCACACCTTTCCTGCAGTTTACAAGTTCACTTTGCATGGATTCATAAACATACACGTCCTGAACAGCAGCTCTTCATCCTCACCCTTACTTGCTGTTTCCATCAGCTCCTGGTCTTTCAAAGTCTCATCAATTACGACTGCTTAAATGAATCTCATTTTTAAAAAAACTACACCCTGGAATTTTCTGAGAGGGGTTTACTAACACATAGATGGCTCGCTCTTTTTTTTTAAGAAAAGACAATGTCACAACTTCAGTAATAAAACTGAATCTTTTCCTTTTAAAAATAAATGGTTTTCATCTAGCTTCTTTTTTACGTAAGTTTTGCCAGCGTAGGATAACACAAGCGTGTCACCATATGGCACGCCTACCAGAACTATCTTTAATTTTTTTTCCTTGGAGATGTAAGCTGAAGTACCTGCAACTATGCTGTAATTTCCTGTTAGAGAACTTATCAAGCTGAATTTTTTTGGAACTGAAGATACTTTCTCGCCCAATTCCCATTTTTAATTATTTTTTTTTTTAAAAAAAAAAAAGAGTCAGAATAACCTATTCAACTATTGGAGAGGTTTATAAAGTCTTTTCAGAAAGGAAGAAACACATCAGAAAGAGAAAATAGCGGCGCTGAAAATAACAATTGCTGTCAAAACCGAGTTGTATTAATTCAGTGACTTGTCTCACAAGACAGTCTTTTTATAATGTTACCCGTAGCAAGAGAAGACAATGGTTTCCCTTGATTTCCCTCCCCCCCCCCGTGTAGCTTTATATGTCACTGGCCCTAGCAACAGTGAAGAATAGCAATGGATTTGTCAGCGGACAAGGACCATGCCACGGGCCCGGGAGGGGGGCCCCAAGCACCCTGTGTTATCCCCGCACAATCGCCCTGTTATTTGACAACAAGCAAGTCTGCAGGCAGAGCAGGGCTTTCCATAGCACACTTGAGTGTCAAACTGACAAACTACAGCCAAGTTACCCACAATAAACCTGCCTGACAGGTTCCCTGCCATTTAGAGAACGTTTCTAGTCCGAGCGCACAAGGACAAGCTTCATCTGCCACAGCTTTGTGGTGAGCTCAAAACTGGGGGAGTCAGTTCACAAAAAGACAACAGTATCACTGATGCAGAGAAAACAGCACAAACAATCAACTTCTACCTCCATCCCAAGGAAACACGGTGAAAAAGGGGGTGAAAAAAAGCACTACGAAAAACTATGGTTTTTTCCCCCCTATGCAGGGGAGGCTGCAGCTCCAAATACAAGTTTTTACTACTAAATCTGCAAAAGTATGAAGATATACAACCACTATCTTTGAATAACTCTATGAAGTTAACATGAAATTCAAGCTTCACAGAAGGTGATGCTAACTTTCTGGATACTTGAAAAAAAACAACCTAACTACTTGCCAGTAAGAGAAAGTTTCCCTGGTCTCCCCTGAGGCCTACCAGGCATATTTTAAAATGACTTTTTAAAAATCCATTTCTAGACTGCAGATGAGCAAATTAGGTGCCATCTACAACACTCTGCCAATGACAGCTGAGACAGCTCTGCCAACACTTCTAGCTTTGCCATGCAATAACTTCAGTTTCCATTTCTGTATTTCATCCAGCAGGACCACTGGAAACAACGGAGGTGGGGGGTAAAGGTTTGCTTTCTGGGTTTCAGAAGGGTCTGGAAAAAGAAACAAGCATCTCATTATCGCCTGTGACAGAGGGTGGAGGGTCTCAGGCTTTTCCGTTAGCAGTTTGCCAAATGCCACAGAGCGGGAGGCTCTTTAATTTGCAAACCAGACTCCCAGGACACCGCCGGACTCAAAACCCTGTCCCCCCTTCTCCCTCGCAGCAGCTGAGAATGATGAAGGAGGGGGACAGCTGGGCTTCTCATTAGAAGAATCCACGGACAGACATCCATACCCACCTCCCATTCGCAGCTTCCACCCCGCAGCCCAGAGGTGTCTTTGAAAAAAAACCTCTCTGGGGGTAGGCAGGCCAGTTTGGTACAGCAGAGTTAAGAGATAAACACAACGGAGAGATTTAGAAGGAAGCCAGCCTCGGTGTTATTTGTCTCCATGAGAACACAACTTACTAGAACACTCCAGTTCCTGAGATAAAGTATCTTCTCTGAAAGCAGGCTACATATACATCTGCTGGTTATCAATATAAGCCTTTAGCAACTGTCAGATATTATGGCAACGGTCCCACTAACTGCTCGCACGTAACTCTGAACGTGCAAGAACACTCAGCGGGGCGAAGGCCTTAATGGAGCTGGGCTCTGCAAGGGAGCCTTTCTTCAGCTGCTTGGGTTTCCCTTCCTTCCCTAGAGCGCATCTTCACTTTAATTAATAGGTCACTCAACCGGTTTATGTTAATTGTCAGAAGTACCTCGTCTTTGTTCCCAAGGGGAGGGACCAAAGTTCATTCAGCTGTTGTCTACCCAGCAAAATTGCCAAACGTAAGGTTTTGCGCACACCTAAATTGCCACCGATTCCTAAGGGAGCTTTTTTACGCCGCAGTAAACAATTGCCTTCTCATTAGCGAGAAGGCAATCCACCCCTGGCTGGCTGTGTCTGTCCCAGATCCCCCCCCATCCGATAACCATGACCTGGGACCCTGGAATTCACTTTTACCCTGGAATTCACTTTTACAGGGCACTGCTCACCCAACCTGCCTCAGCCCCAGCCAGCTCTAACTTAGCAACCCCACACAACGCGACGGGCAGCACCTCCGGGGCGAGCAACTTGCTGTGAGTGGGGAAAAAATAATTAAAAAAACCCACATTATTAGAAAAGGGAGACATGGTTGGTTTTTTTTTCCCCCCTTCAGGCTGCTCTCGCCCTGCCACAGCACTCACCGGGAAGGTCCCGCCGACCCCCGACTTATGGGCTTGATTCGGCCCGTGTGGCTGCTTTTTAAACCCATCTCCCCGCTGCCGGAGCCGCCCGGGCGATAAGGAAGGGGGGGAAACCCGGCTGCCGGGGGGAACTGCCGCCCTCCAAACGCCCTCCGGCCCCCGGCGGCCCTTAACGGCTGCCGCGGCTGAGGCGGGGGGGGGGGGGGGGGGCG